GAACGCCACTCACTGTCCACCCCCGAGCAAAGGAAGCCCGCTCCCTCCCACAGCGCCTGCACGGCCACCTCGGCCGCCCGGGCAGGTTACCACCCGGGTGCTCGCCGACGCCGTTTCCCAGCGACACCTCCCCGGGCGCGCTCCGCCCCGCACAGCTCCGCCGTGAGACGCCGTTTGGGTCCCAACTCCCCGACCTGCCCACCCCGCGGGGACGCCACACGCCTCCCTCACGGCCCTGCAGACGCCCGAGCGGCGCGCCGCGGGGCTGCCGCGCCGGGCCTCACCCTCAGGTTCCCCTTGGTCCGCTGCTTGTTCTTCCCGCCCATGGTCGCTGTGGCGGCCGCGCTCTCAGGCTGCGGAGCCGAGGTTGACACCGCCGGGCCACAACTTCCGGTCCCTCGCGCCGGAAGGGGGCTCATTGTAGCAACTTGCCCCCGCCCACCCGGCCCTCTGGCTTCCCCCTTCCGTTCCCGCCCCTCTGCCGGGGCTCTTGACCATCCGCTGTCTGATACGTCACAGAGAAAGCCACGCCCCTCCCTGAGTGGCGTCACTGAGGACCAATAAGACACCGGGATTGGGGCCCGCAGCGCCAAATCCTGTCCTAGGTACTTGAGGTGAAGCGATTCCCTTGCTAGTGTGTGGGAATTTGAGTTCAGCTACGTCCTTGCACAAGATAGCAACAGAGTGGTATGGTAGCAACTGTGCTAACAAGTGCGAGAAGTAGAGAAAGTGATGCCATCATCGGCATGAAAAACAGATTCTCAGGCTCGCGACTAGAGAATCAGATTCTGCATTTAACAAGATTCCCATTCGTACTAAAATTTGGATAGTGTTATACGCTATAGTCTTTGTAGATCTCCTCTTTTCCATACTAAAGTGAGGCAGGAGTGAGCTCCTGGACAAGAGCCCATAGTAAGGTGGAGGGATCAAACTGACAATATCTGACAGATCTTTATAGTATCAAACTTCGGATGAAGCTCAGTGGAGAGTACTTGCCTAGCATGCGCCAGAGTCTGGTTAAATCACTAGCATCACACACCCCAAATCCTCTAAGAATTCTGTGTATATCAAAAGACTCTCAGTGAGCTATTTTGTGTCCTGATATAATGCAATAGAAAGTGCTGGAGACCTATTAAGTATTCTTGCAAAAAAGTCAAAACAATCTAGCTGAGCTTCAGATCTAATAATTTACAGAATACAGAGGAGTATAT